TAGATGGTGACTTTAATAGTTTAACTGCAACTTTGGACTTAAATTTAAGGTTTTGAGAAAGCCGATAGGCATCAGTATTTTTAGGTATATACAATTACTTTTTTCTTCAGCATTTAACTGACTTTCTTAAATGTTCTCCAAATCATTGATCATATACCAAATTTGCTTAAAGGTTTACGTGCAACTATTTAAATCACTGCATTCAACGAATATAATCTATATATTTTATTTATAATGATAGGGGCATAATTAGTAAATTAGTAGGGTTTGTGGGTAACAGAGTTGTGTTGCTTTATATGTCACTTAATTCTGAGATATACTTTTGATGTTCATCATTGAAGAATAAGTTTCTTTAACATTTTCAATAAAATATTTCAATATTTCAATTTAATTTTTTTATCTTAAATTCTGTGGTTGGGCATATAACAAAATTATTGGGCATTTCCAGCTGTATCTAAGATATTGGGGTAATACAAAATGACTTGGAACAGTTAATTAGTTGGGCAAATAATTATTATAATTATTGTAACTGCACAACAGGACATTTGGGTTTCATAATTTCTACCATACATTTGTGATATTTAAATATAACTGTCTTCTTTTAGTGTTATTATATTTACTCTGAATTATTTCTTTTTTCTGAATATATGAAGGTTTCACGTAACAAGTGGCAGAAAAAACCGTTAAGTTGATCTTGTTTCAAGTTACTTTTGTTCTTTTAAGCAGACCTATAATATATTGTTACATCTCCGTTTGTTAATTAACTTTCCGTAACTTCGTTCCGACGAAACTTTAGTGACACAAGTCCTTACTTAATAAAACTGGTTTCTTCTTTCTGAATATAGCTTTACAATACACTTGATTCCAACATTCGCGCAAAAACAAACGCAATAACGAACTTCATCAATACTCTCTGACTGCAAATCAATTACTTTCTACCTACACACATTGTCCCGTCACGTTGTGAGCGTCTTATATATATACCAGACAAACATATATCTAGTAAATGCTAGGGCATTCACGAAGGTTCGAGAGAAGTGGCGTGACACTAGTCACGTGGCCTCGTTGACGCAATAATATAGTTTTCTTGAATTAATTCAACTTAACCTGGATATGCCACTGATTTAATCTAGGTGTGACCCCCCTCAGTGATGTAACTGAAGAATAGGATCTCGGTATATGTTAGTTATACATAATTGTTTCGTTTAAATTTAATACAAGAGTTATGATTTACATAGTTATAAAACAGAAATATTAAATTTAGTATATTTAGAAGCGATAATTTATCTGCAGGTAGATTACGTGACTGTTTATGAATCATTTGTTAGTAGTTAAATTTTTGTAAATTGGTGTCATGCTACTCGAACCTTCTGAATTTTTCTCGTTGCTTTAAGTGAGTATCGTTACATTATAATGTCTGATAGTTTTTTAAAGTTCTAGGCCTCATTTGGGCATTATATTGTTACGACAGCGGAAGTCACGTGACGCTGGTAACACGTGATGAGTTTCTAGAAGGATCATGAAGGCCCGAGTGCATTCTAGACGCTCTCTTTTTTAGTATATAAACCCGGCAAATAAAGCGAGATAAAAATTGAAGATAGGGAGAAAAAGAGACAGTACTCGAGTCAAGTCGTAAATAAAGTGCGTGAATCGTTGTGAATTATGGTGTGTGATTAAGTTAAAGTGACTGTGGAAATTAAGTGTATT